ACAGTAGTGAGGAGAATCGCACAAAAATGCCTAAATTGTTATTGGCAATGACCACCTGTTCTATTTACCCACCTAATTTTTGACTCAGTAAAAGGTTGCGAAATCCAGACGGCAATTTGACGGACATACGTCTGCCCTCCATAAATTCCTTTTAGACAATATGCGGGAGAATCTGTGAATTTTTATTAGCTCGTGGACTTGTATATCGTTCATCAGCTAATACCATGATAACTTGTCAGTCGCTAAAATAGATTAAGGTATTCATAGACAAGATGTTCAAAATAAAGGTAACGAATAACAGCTGATGGATATCAAAATTGCTCTTAAAAATTCAGTATAGATTTCGCATGGTAACAGCCTTAAGGAGATTTATGCCCTGATATATTGAAAACGAAGTCAAATAAAACCCCCCCCCCCTTGTTGTATGTCTGAGCATAAAATCCGTATTCCTCAACGCACACCGAAAGGTTATTTCAGTACGGCACTTTTCCAGGAACTGAAGAGGTGGAGCTAACCCGACGCGGAACTCTATAGGAGATCCGACCTAGGCGATAGCGATCTCGAAATTCTGAAAGGAGGGATTATATATGTCCAAAGACTTTTCTCTGAAGTAAGCCTATAACCCTAACAGCTTAGGCATAATGGACGTCATGCCGTCCCGATTTGTACCCATACCCTTATGCAATCAATCCCGCGAACTGGGCTGAGGCTTGCATAAAGGACTGTTTAGGTCTTTCTTTATATGCCGATGCTCAAGATCTCATTTCAAAAATCGACAATTTAAAAACGGAACCCAGATATCGTTGTTATAAGGTAAACGTGACCCAAATAAGAAATCGCGGATACCTTATGCATGCTCTTTCGCAGAAGCCGTCAAAATAGATGGACTGGTGGGGTAGCCGTATATGTAAGGAGAGGAATTTCGCCACGTGGGCGAACTCACACCCTCTCCTTTAATACAACTCCGTCTAGATAAAGATAATGAAGAGTAATTCGGAAAACCTCCAGCTCGTGACGGCTTACAGACCACTGAACTATCCGTGTGCAGCGGAAGAGTCGCTCCCTCACTTGGTCAAGGAAATGGTTTGCCACGAATAGGTTTATATTTCTGAGGGTCTCAGTACACCCGCAATAGACTGGGACCCCCAGCACGTGATTTTCCTCTGGCACAGAATGCAAAAACACCAACATGATTTTGATGGTATCGGAGAGCTAACTTTCTGGGCTTTGTTGTGATGAATTACTTTTCTAACTTTGACGAAGTTTGTTCCAGTGAAGCTCTCGGGAAGAGTGATCATACCGCACTCTCGTGGAATTACTTGGTCTATTCGCAACGCCATCAGACAATGGAAGCCGAGTTTCAGTGTGATGGGTAACAAGGTGATGTCCGTGAACTGGGACAATCTGCTCACTAAGGGTCCTAAGCAGGGTCGGAAGTCATATGATCGATCCCGCTGAATCTGATTCGATACTGTTGTCCAGCAAAAGCACCAAAAATGTTAATCCTCTTGCCTCCTTAAGAGAAGAACTTAGCTGAAATTGGAGGCGAAATATATCTTATATTCGTCCTCAACATCGCTCTGAAATCGTCTACTTATCTGTACAAGGCTTCCTACTTGACAGCTTTTCTCCAAGATCTTCATCTAAGACTACAACGGCCGAGAAGCTTTTTACCCAACTTCATACTTGGCAATCTATCTATCCTAACAATTTGCGCTGTCGTCAACGGAATGCTGTCAAAACACGGATCCGTCAGACAAGGAAGAGCCATGAATTCGAATTTTTCGGCAGGTTGAAGAGAATCAGAATTTTTTTCCATTACATTGACAGTTGAATAGGTAAGGCTGTTAATGACGCAGAAGTCGTTGAAAACGACGAAAAATCTGGACAACTGGGTAGGTCCTTTGCTTCAGTATTCACTAGCCAAAATTATTTTCAGAATCACAATCTCAATAGTTGTGTTGCAAAGTCGGTCAAGTGCGTGAATCTATAACCCCTTAAGCAGCTGTCACCAAACGAGAGCAAAGAAATCTCAAAGAAGGTAAGTAATTGGGTGCGGATAACATATCGACAAGGTTCTTAGACGAATTGGCATATCTTCTGTTCTTCAATTGAGTTGAGGGGATGGCCATCCGAATAGAAGACAGAAAATGCCTACTCGATTTATAAATGCGGGGTTCGAACCAATGTGAATACGTACCGTCCCATAGGCTAGCCTGTACCTGCAGTGAACTAGCGCAAATCATGCTGAAGAAAGCAGCAATGAAGCTCCTGGAGGGGGGTCATTTATTCTCAAGACTGATGCACGGTTTCAGGCAGAGTCGTTCATACTCTTTCAGTTTGTTTCTCTTTACTGAGCAGTTAACTAGTGCAGTGGTCGACGTCATCCACACTGATTTCGAGAAGTCCTTAAACGACATCTAATACAAATATCTAATCTAGAAACCATCGGAAATTTGAATAAGAGGATATTTGCTGACATAAAAGTCAGTCTTTCCTACAGGGAGATCTCAAACCGTATGCTTTCCTGCCTCGAATTCAAACCCTATTCCGGTTTTACTAATAATCTCCAGGACCCGGTCTTTGGGTCGCTAATCTTCATAATCTACACCAACGACTGTATTGACAACATGGACTAATAATAATAATACTTAATGCCAGTTTACAGGTCTTGTCAAAGAACGATAAGGCCCGATCGAACTAACAGCGAAAAAACTCCTGAGGAGTAAATATATAGGATGGTGTTTCTGTATTCTTCAGATGGTTCAGGAGTAAAAACAATTGCTGCCCGTGAAACGACGGTAGTCCAGAAAGGAATGGGCGACACTGCGGCAAATATTTTCAGTCTCCATTACTTTTCATGAAGTTAGGACTGGACCAAACAAAGATACTGAAGAACAGTTGCTCGTTGTCGGCTCATGAAATTGTCCGAGTTAGACCGTTCAGGGGAATCAGAGACCACGAACCCCATCAATACGGTGGATTAAATCGGTGGATTTAGGATCCGAACTATGCGGGAAATTGTTTGAATGCAAAAATGGAGTAGTGGACCTCTTAACCAGAGAACAACTTTACAGAATTTTAACATTCCTGGGTAACCTGTTCCAAAATACAATTGTGTCCACAGAAAAACAGCCGACGATATCTTACGGTACACACCAGAGGAAGAAATAAAAACAACGCACAATGGCTGGTACGTCGGGGGTTACTAAGGTGTTTCAAAGTAGTAAGTGAGTTAAAAACGCGACTGCTTAAAAGCTTAAATAGTTAAAAAAAAGTGTCTTTCATAATCGACGGAACCGCAAGGAGTCAATTCCTGTAAACAGGCGAAGCTCTTGGTAAGTCAAATTTCAGCGTTCGGAGGTTAGGACTCTGTTGACAAAATGTTGGACGGATTCAATGTTCTTCCACTCAGCAGACGCATGAGGCTAAATAAAAACAAACAGTAGTTGTTGGGAGTGCCAACACGCCCAAAAACAAGAGCTAGCCAATCACGGGAGGCCACGTGCTTTTTATCTACTGCGCTGCCATCTTAATCGTGGCGTCTATCCATTGGCTTTTCCTCTCGGGCCTTCAATTCAATTCAATTCAATTATTTTATTAAAGACCCGTCGGGGTCCCATCAAAGCAAGTAAAAATAAATTTACATGCAAATTTTAGACGATGTAGGCAAAATCTGCACAAAGTGCAATGCATAGTTTTTGAGATTAGAAGTCCGTTAAGCAAAATGAAAATGAAAAAAAAAAAACGAGGGGTGAAAAAAAAAACTCCAAAGCAAGATTTAAAAATGATTGTAGTAATTTAACAGGAGAAAAAAAACCCCTCAGAAAAATAGCATCAGAAAAAAAGGGAGGACTGGCCTGCATGTGGCGGTACAAAATGGAATAAAGCCCGACATCAACATGGCCGAAATAGATGTCAGCTGTATATGGCATTGTGTAACGGATTTCATAAAATGGTACGTAGGCGGGTCGGTCAGGTCTGGCCTGTATCGCCTTGAATAAGATAAATAAGTGCCGAAATTGAAAACCAGTCTCAAGCCGATAGGAACCCAGATGCGGTCAGTTTCATTCAACCGAGTCCATCCGAACATGGGGGGAGATGCGACCAGACTACTAGTATATGGCGAATATAGAAGGCTTTGACAAGACCGCCGATGGAGCGCATTCTGTAAGGGCATGATGACAACCAGTCTCGAGGCGACAAGAACCCAGATGCGGTCGGTTTCATTCAACCGAGTCCATCCGAACATGGGGGGAAGGGAGATGCGACCAAACTACTAGTATATGGCGAATACAGAAGGCTTTGTCAAGATCGCCGATGGAGCGCATTCTGTAAGGGCACGATGACAACCAGTCTCGAGGCGAAAAGGCCCCAGATGCGGTCTGTTACATTCATCAGAGTCCATCCGAGGATAGGGCAAATGAGATGCGACCAGATTACTAGTATATGGCTAATATAGAAGGCTTCGCCAAGAGCATCGATGAAGCGCATTCAGTGAGGGCATCATGAAGATCAGTCTCGAGGCGATAGGAACCCAGATGCGGTCGATTACATTCATCCGAGTCCAACCGAGGATGGGGGAAGGGAGATGCGACCAAACTACTAGTATATGGCGAATACAGAAGGTTTCGCCAAGAGCGTCGATGGCGTGCATTCTGTGAGGGCACGATGCATGAACTAAAAAATTGGATCGATCTGCATATTGAATTATCGACCGGCTCGTCTGGAATGTTTTTCCCGAAGGGCATTGGGCCGAATGCCGGCGAAGCACAGTAGAGCGTTATAAATATGCACTACTTCCAGTTAATTTTGACTTGTAATTTCCTAATACACATTTTTGTGGATGGTTGCGTTCTCATTCTCTACCGCATTGGTATTGGGGACCAGGGTCGGGTGCGTATACGCTCCACAGGATTTCAAGTACCAGGTGAGTCATAGCCAATTGGCGACGAGGTTTTTCAACTACAATAGCTGACGAGTACGCCGACTTGAAGCAAATGTTGCAGCAGCAGCAGAATCTGATGGAGGCTCTGACCGTCAAGCTATCCAATTCATCCATGGGCCAATCAAGCGCGGCTGGTGGTTCACATTCTGTCGATCACCTTGCCAGCAGCATCACTGATTTCTTGTATGACCAGAAGGCCCATGTCACTTTCGATTCCAGGTACAAACGATACGAGGACTTGTTCTCTGTCGATCTGTCTGCCCAGGACGATGCATGGAAGGTTGTTCTTCTACTTCGCAAACTGGGTTCGGCTGAACACGAGCGTTATGCCAACTTCATCCTCCCCAAGGATCCCCGAGAAGTCATTTTCAAGGACACAGCTCAGACGTTGTCGCAGATTTTTGTTGACCAGTAATCCCTTTTCAAGACTCGATTTCAGTGCCTGAAATTGTGCAAAAGAGATTACGATGATTTCATCACGTATGCGGATATTGTCAGTCGTGAGTTTCGGCGTTTACAACTCGGTCCTCTCACTGAAGATCAGGTTAAATGCCTTATATTTATCTGAGGGCTCCAGTCCCCCAAGGATACTGATATTCGGACACGTCTCCTGTCCAAAGTGAAGCAGAACAACTCAATCACACTCCAAGAGCTGGCAGCAGAGTGCCAAACGCTGATCAACCTCAAGCACTACTCTGTACTGATTCAGAACCCTGCTTCATCTTTCTATGTCCATTTGGTCACATTGACCAAATCGCGGCCTAAGCAAGTGTCGAAGACGAGATCATCGCCATCCCCTTGTCGGTTCTGTGGCGCGTGGAATTTCCAACGGAATTGCACATTCCGCCAGTATCGCTGCCAAAGCTGTAATCAGGTGAGACACCGTGATGGGTTCTGCAAATCAGTACCAGCTTCTGGAGACAAGCCAGCCCCCGCCATTCCTAATTCCAGGCACCGTTTCCGGCCAGAACGCAAGCCCAAACACCAGTCCGTCGGTAATTCTCTCAGTCTCTTGGCTGCTTCCCAGCTCATTGCGTCTGGTCGTAGAAAATTTGTTGACGTTTTGCTCAACGGCCATGCAGTTTGCCTACAGTTAGATACAGCCTCAGATATCACTATCATCTCTGAGAGCCTCTGGCAGTCCCTTGGCAGCCCCATGATGCAGCAGACTTCCAAGTCAGCCACAAGCGCGTGCGGTGGTCTCGTTCGGCTAATTTGGCAACTGCAATGCTGTGTGTCGTTCCGCGGTACCAGCATCACTGCAATCTGCTACATCACCCAAGTCTGACCTCAGCCTACTTGGTCTCGACTGGATTGAACAACTTGGGTTGGCCGGTATGCCGCTCCGAGTTGTTTGCAGTCAGGTGCAGAGTCCCGCTGTGCTTGCAGACCAAGCCAAGGACATTCTCCAACGGTTTGCCCCAGTGTTCCAAGACGTCCTGGGTAGTTGCATATACAGTCAAGTCGTGCTACATCTGTCTCCTGGAAGTCAATCAGTCTTCCCTCTAAGGCGACCAGTCTCATATGCAGCTCTACCGCTTGTCGAGGCTGGACTGAAGCGTCTAGAGGAACTGGGAGTTCTGGTTCCTGTATCCTACTCCGCCTGGGTCGCTCCAAACGTTGTGGTTAAGAAGCCCAATGGCTCGATTCGCAGTTGTGCGGACTTCTCCACCGGTCTCAATGCAGCACTGACGCCGAACTGCTATCCATTGTCGGTTCCGGCTGATCTTTTCACCCTGCTAAATAGTGGCACTTGCTTTGCCAAGTTGGATCTCGCTGATGTGTATCTGCAGATCGAGGTCGCCCCAGAGTCGCGCGAATTGTTGAACATCAATACCCATTGCGCTCTGTTCCAACATACCAGACTGTCCTTTGGTGTCAAGACCGACACGGCCCTATTCCAACAAACGATGAACACAATGCTCTCCGGCATCCCTGGTACAGCTGGCTACCTAGACGACATCATCATCGTGGGTCGCTCCCCTGCCGAGCTGCAAGACCGAGTGTGCGCAGTACTCGAACGCGTGCAGGAATATGGCTTTCGCCTACGGGCCGACAAGTATCTATTCTTCCTCGACTCCAGCAAGTACCTCGGATTCGTTTTTGACGTCATTGGTCGCCTTCCAGATCCTGAAAACATTCTGGCCCTCCAAAGGATGCCTGCACCCAAGAATGTATCGCAACTTCGTTCGTTCCTTGGCCTGATCAGCTACTATAGCGCCTTTCTACCATCGCTGCATGACGTACGGGCCCCTCTCAACCGTCTGTTGCAGGAGGATGCTCCCTGGTGCTGGTCCTCCGACTGTGAAAAGGCCTTCGCCCAGTTAAAGTCGACGCTGAGTTCAGATCTGCTGCTCACGCACTACGACCCGACGCTGCCGATCGTTGTTGCTGCAGATGCTTCCAACCACGGAGTTGGTGCCGTCATCTCACATACTTTTCCTGATGGGTCTGAAAAGGCGATCATGCATGCATCTCGCACGCTAACCGCTGCGGAGAAGAACTACGGGCAGATAGAGCAAGAGGCTCTAGCCCTCGTGTTTGCCGTCAAGAAATTTCACAAACTGTTGTATGGTCGCCACTTCACGTTGTTGACGGACCACAAACCATTGCTGTCAATGTTCGGTTCGAAGAAGGACACTCCCATCTACTCAGCCAGCCGACTTCAGCGATGGGCAACCATCCTTCTTGATTGCGATTTCGACATTCGTTACCGTTGTTCTACAGACTTTGGCCAGGCTGACGCCCTTCCTCGCCTCATCAGCAATCAGCAGGAAGCGGAGGAAGATACCGTGATTGTCGCTATTCCGATTGAGGACGATGTGCGCCGTCGGCTATCACACTCCATACGAGGTATCCCTGTCAATGTCGCGGACATCCGACGAGCTACTGAACAGGATCCTGTCCTCCGTCAGGCCATCACCTACGTGCAGACCTGCTAGTCAACCACTGCTCTCGCTGGTGAGCTTCGTCAACTCTTCCTCCGCCGAGCATCGCTATCTGTGGTTGACTCCTGTCTCATGTTTGCGGACCGTGTGGTGATCCCATCTTCCTTCCGACCCACTGTACTACGCCAATTCCATGCCGCTCATCCTGGCACCAGTCCCATGAAGTCAATTGCTCACAGTTTTGCTTACTGGTCGGGTATCGACGGCAATATCGACGACCTGGTTCGATGCTGTTCTCGATGTCAGCAAGCTGCCGAGTTGCCGTCTCGTCAACCGCCAGTACCCTGGAAACCACCGGAGAGGCCTTGGTCACGCGTCCACATCGACTCCGCCAGCCCACTTAACGGAGTCTCCTACCTAATCTTGGTTGACGCCTACTCGAAGTGGCCCGAGATTGCTCCGCCGAATCCAGCAACAGCATCTGCCACTATCGCCTTCCTACGACGCATCTTTAACTATCATGGCTTACCAAAAGTCCTGGTTTCAGATAATGGCTCTCAGTTTACCTCGACGTTTGAGGATTTCTGCCGCCAGCACAACATCCAGCATCTTCGCTCGCCGCCCTACCATCCTCAGTCTAACGGTCAGGCGGAGCGTTTTGTCGACACGTTTAAGAGAGCCCTCTTGAAAGCTCGTGGGGAGGGGACCACGGACGAGATAGTCCAGGCGTTCCTGTTTTCCTACAGGACAACACCGAACCCGGCGTCCCCTGGTGGCGTTTCTCCTGCCGAAGCGTTGATGGGCCGAAAACTGCGTACAACATTTCATGCACTCGTCCCTACCGGTGCGCAGTCCGCGCAGACTTCTCCAGTCTCTCGCAGCAAGCTCTCCATTGGAACACCTGTCTTCGTTCGTGATTATCGAGCGGGGTTCCCAGACTGAATTGAAGCAACCGTAGTAGCTCACAGAGGCAGTATGTTGTTTGACGTCGACGTTGCTGATGACATCTGGGTTCGCCACCACAACCAGATCCTACGGCAACACTGCAGTAACGCAACTGGACTCGAGTCAGCGCCGTCACTCCCCCTTAACATTCTACTGGATACCATCGCCATTCCGGCAGATCGGTCGGTTCCCAAAACCGCTGCAGCGACCCCTTCGGATATACCACCTTCGGTATCAGTAACCGCTCCCGTGTCTCCAGGCAATAAACCACGACTAAAACGCCGGACCAACCGCGTGCGCCGATCAACACGGCTGATGCAGGTCAACTCACGCCAGAGCTGTTGGGAGCTGTTGGGAGTGCCAAAACACCAAAAAACACGAGCTAACCAATCACGGGAGGCCGCGTGCTTTTTATCTACGGCGCTGCCATCTTAATCGTGGCGTCTATCCATTGGCTTTTCCTCTCGGGCCTGATCGATCTGCATATTGAATTATCGACCGGCTCGTCTGGAATGTTTTTCCCGAAGGGCATTGGGCCGAATGCCGGCAAAGCACAGTAGAGCGTTATAAATATGCACTACTTCCAGTTAATTTTGACTTGTAATTTCCTAATACACATTTTTGTGGATGGTTGCGTTCTCATTCTCTACCGCATTGGTATTGGGGACCAGGGTCGAGTGCGTATACGCTCCACGGGATTTCCAGTATCAGGCGAGTCATAAAAGTATTACCGGTTAGGCCTGACTTACGTTTTAAAAAGGTGCAGGTTAGATGATAGTTGGTAGCCCTCCTGACACTGCAAACTCAAAGCTGCCTGTCAATCGGGACCGGTGGTAATAGGGGCTATACGGGTGGGACAATTGAGTGGACGGGTAATTGGCGATTGTAGTATATGCTAGGAATTGACGCTCCTGGTAAAGTGGAAGCCTAATTTAGATTAGGTGAAAAATACAAGGAAGGTATGGAAATGAGCAAGGAGACTTTGAACGGTGTGTGGAATAAATGCATCCTAGCCTCAGATTGGAAAGAAAAGCAAGTGAAGGCGAAAAACCAATGGGAAGAAGGCAACTGGTCCGAAGGTCATTCCGCAGTGTGTGCGATAAAACTCCATCCAACATACTGGACAGAAGAACACGAGAGTCAGGCAGCGGCACGCGGAACGCCACAACGCAAGCCGGGTAAGACTTTTATGCGAAAAATTGGTTTGGGCGGAAGAGAAAATCCTCAAATAATGAGGCAGTCGAAAGGTACCTCTGCTAATGAAGTTGATAAAGGGTAAGCCTCATTGTCATCGTTACCGGTGCCAATCCGCTCAAGATAGTACCTGTACAATGAATGAGGCAGTCAAGAGCTACCTCTTCTTATGACAGTTGATGTAGGGAAAGCCTCATTGTCATCGTTAACGGTGCCCAGGACAGTACCTCTACAATGAATCTGGTACAGGTAATACAGCACGCATGCAAATTTAGAAGCATAATGAGAGCGTAATCATAGCTACTGAAATCAAGCCAGTAGGTACAATTGTGGATTATGTGGGCACGGTTGACAAATACCTCTTCTAATGAAATTTGCCATAGGGTAAGCCTCATTGTCATCGTTAACGGCGCAAATCTGCCCATGATAGTGCCAATAAAATGAATCTGATACAGTTAATACAGCGTGCGCGTGAATTTAGAAGCCTAATGAAAACGCAATCACAGCTACTGAAATCGATCCAGTAGGTACCATTGTGGAGTCTGTGGGCACGGCTACCAACTATCATCTTACCAAGGTGCATTCTAATATCATTCGTTTAAAATTACGGAGGATAAACCTGATCGAAATGCGTGCTTTGGAGACTATCAGGATGCAGTGTTCCGAAGAATAAGATTTTTCAAGTCTGATAAAAACAGATCCTTAATAACAACAGGCACATTAATGTCCTGAAAGTCAATACATATTTGGGTGAACAGACGAGTCCAAGGAAGCAGTTTTGAAGAAGAAGAAGAAGAAGAAGACACGATCGCCGGGACAAGAGCTTTATTAGCCTGACGTTTCGGATTCCTGCTCGAATCCATCATCAGAGACACAAGCAGATAAGGGTGGCTCATGCACATGCGGCTGCAGTATTTATAGGATGCAGTAGCCATGCTACCGCATACCTATGAATATTCACGGCTCCCCTTCATCAGGGATCGTTGCACGTGGCGTGATGGCCGACATTCGCGTCGTTAATTGCTGCAATTTCATCACGTGCGTTGGATGTTGGTGTGATGATTGCTCGACCATCTGACCCACCGACCCTGACGTTGGGGAAATTGTTCACCTGTGCGCTCCCCTCGTGGCCAATTACTCCGCCTAGACGAAGTCTCAGCACGCTGTGTTGAACGGGAAGATCATTGCCTTGTTAATAGACTGGGGGCCAGTAAACCATGACTCAAGCAGCTCCCGGCTCATGCGGTTGTCACCTCTTGCGAGAATTTCGGCCTCGTCAAATTTGAATGTGCGGCCGGAACCCGTCGAATGAGTCGCAACTTGAGAGCTGACGTCATTTCTCTGCACCGCTGCAGCGTGTTCGGCTATTCGCGTTCGGAGCTGTCCTCCGGTTTCTCCGACGTAGTTGCTTTGTCCGCAACTGCACCAGATCCGATAAACGACTCCAGACGTTTCTTGCCGTGGCAGTGGGTCTTTTGGTTTCATCAACTGACGCCTGATGGTTGCCTCCGGCCTGTGTGCAACTCCAACCCCAAGTGGTGCGAGAAGGCGGCCGACAGTTTCCGAAACGTTCTTGACATATGGAAGCGCTCGCCAAACTTTGGTGTTCGTGCGGTTAGGCCTTTCGTTCCTTTTGCGTATGCACCGGTTGACAAAGTTGCGCGGATAGCCATTGGCTTTGAAGACCCGTCAGAGGTATCGTAGTTCGGCAATCTTGTCTTCCGGCTCACTGCAATGCGTTTCGACACGCCGATAGAGCGTCCTTACACAACTGCGTTTGTGACTGATTGGGTGATTGTTGTTGAAGTTCAGTACTTGCATCGTATTTGTCGCTTTCTGGAACACTTTGGTCTTTAGTCCACCACAATCCTTGCGAAAGACGAGGGCATCCAGAAAGGCCAGCTGGTTGTTCTCTTCCTCCTTCATCGTAAATTGTATGTCCGGGAAGACACTGCTGAGACGTTCTTTGAACGTTCGCACCTGATCCCGTTTGATGACGACGAAGGTATCATTCACATACCGGGCCCAGAATTTCGGTCTGTGGTGTTGGAAGACCAGCGACTCTAACCGTTGCAGGACCGCCTCGACGATGAATCCCGAAATGGGCGAGCCCATTGGTGTCCCCTTCACTTGCTCGTAGATTGTTCCGTCAAACATGAAGTACGTCCTGAGACAGAACTTTAGGAGCTGAAGGACTGGGTCGCGTCCAAGACAATTTTCCGTTTCATCGTATTTGCTTCGTAGGAGTAGCTCGACGGTCATGATTGCCTGATCCTTGGGAAAAGGAGTAAAGAGGGACGTGACATCAAAAGATACCATGACCTCATTTGGATGGAGGCTTACCCCTTTGAGTTTCTCCAGGAATTCTGCTGACGAAGAGACCGTGGTGTCTGAATCAGCGGTCAGAAATTTGAGGCGTCGAAATCGGCGCACATATCGGTGTTATTGCTCTTAGCAGCAGTATGATGGAAAAGATAAATATGCTGGATCCTTTGCGCTTTTATCGACAGGATATTAACTCTCTGATGACCGGCATGGATTTCGCAGGAGCAGTTCTTACGTGAAGAACTTCTTCTTTTTATAACGTTTGGCCCGGACAGTCGATGGTGGGAATACTGTGCATGTAGAATTTGCCAACTTAAGAAAACTTTCGGCAATGTACTGCATCATCGGACCCCGTATTAACTCGCTCGAAAAGGTGTTGTTGGTAATCTTCTAGGATTGGTTCAGAGCTTCTTAATCAGTCACACTCACGCTGTCCGCGTTCCTGGTCTGCGGCTGCTCGCTAAGTGCGTCGATGGGTGCATCAACCAACCGGATCACGGTGTCGCCATGCTTGCTGATGAGATAAAGCTTTAGAGCTTCCTCCACAACGAAACTGACGAGGACATCCTCAGGCAGATCTAGACGGACTCGAGCAATGGCCGTGTCATTGTCTCTTGGAGTTCAATGCGAGCAGAAGTGAAACATTCTGTTGGTCGGCGGAGACAGAACTTCCAACCACAGGGTTTGCCGACTAAATGGTCTGCTGATAT